AAAAGAATTTAATTTGTTTTGTACATGTAATGTGAATGTATAAACAGGTATTTCATTAAGATAATATGAGTATAATATCTTAATATATTAAAATTAATATAAATTTTAATACAAATTTAATATGAATTAATACATTGAAGGCAATTTATTATGAATTAATAAACTTAATATAAATTTAATATGAATTAATATAAATTTAATATAAATATTAATATAAATTTAATATGAATTAATATAAACTTAATATGAATTAATATAAATTATATATAAATTTATATAAATCTTAATATATTAAATTTCATATTGCATTACTTTTACTACTGCCCACAACGCACGTCTCCTAACCTCAATTTCCCACGGCGATTAACGCATTTCACTGCACATATCTGCACAGACATCCCCTTCGAATACATCGTTTCACTTAACATAATTATTCGCGGAAGAAGAGCCGTTAGATAGTTTTCCCTCATCTCGCCACGTTTATAGAGTTTCGTCGCAGAAATTCATTCACCTGTCAGCGAGATCAACGCGATAATCACCGGTCTGTTCGAAGCCATGGAGGTCTTCCGGCTTTCTCAAGCCCCACAGTGAAGCCTGACCGTAAATAAATAATAGAATTTAGCCAATCAAAGCGACTCGGAGTTGTAGAAACAGGCCCGAGCACTGACCCCATGGATCTTCGATCCGCAGAATTCATGTTTAATTGAAATGCTGTCCTAGCCTCTGTGTTTGTGTGTGTGTGTGTGTTTTGTGTGTTGTGTGAGTGTATGAATTGGACTAGTTTATAAATTTCATGGAAATGGACCTTTAGTTTCGTTAGTTACACTAAATTGGTGAAATTAATTAATTTTAATATTACAATTTATATGCAATTATGGTAAAAGTGATTAAAATTACTACAATTGAAATTTTCTCAATACATGTTTAACCGTACTTTGTTGAATGTAGTGTCAGTGAATTGTTGAGATTGTCCCGATTAAAATGAGTCCAAACACGACATAAATCGGACTACTTTTACCGATTGAATGCAATTAACGAAACTAAAGGCTCGTTTCCATGAAACCATAAAACTACTCCGACTTACGTCGTGTTGGTACTCATTTTAATCAGAAAAATCTCAGCAATCCATCGGTACTACATTCAAGAAACTAACGTTAAAATTACTGCAATCGAAATTTTCTCCATTGCATATTTACAATTAAAGTGACATATCAGTATATTGGCATCTTGTTGATTTATTTCATTTTGCACTCGAAGTGTTGAATAAAATTAAGTAATCAGTTAACTTCAACTTTTACAAAAGTTACAAAATATATTCCTTTGATGAATAATCGTTATAATAATGAACAAAAATTCGGCCCATAAAGGATCAAATATAAATATAAATATAAATATAAATATAAATATAAATATAAATATAAATATAAATATAAATATAAATATAAACATAAATATAAATATAAATTAATATTTCAGTTACGGTTGTTATAACAATTATTTTATTACAATTATTATAACAACCATTTAAGGCTGGTGTTGTAAAATTTAACCGAACAGATTCCTGTGGAATTTAATCGCACTCATTGTACTATTTTTCGCGAAGCGTGACTGTAACAAGCAGTCCCAAACTTTTGATCGGTGATGCATGTATTAACTACGCCTACATAAAATCTCAAGCATCCATTCGCATTCCGTTCCACTAAAAAAGCGAGGTTAGCTGATTATCGAGCAAGTAATCAGACAGTTTTTAGTGGTAGTACGCATTCCTTCCATATTCGTGCATATTATACACTTTTCTCTTCGCCATGTGGCATGATAATAATTACATTGGAGAAGTCCACGTAAATTTAGATTTTGATGGTCTACTTTGGAGGAGATGAGGTTAAGGTAACTCAAAACCTTAATTTACATTATTTATAAAAATAAAGGTTTAATATTTACATTATTATATTATTATATTATTTAATAATTTATATTATTTAGAAAAATAAAGGTTCAATGATTTACATTACCATATTATTTTTAATTATTTAGAAAAATAAAGGTTTACTGATTTACATTATTATACTATTATTATGGACTATTTTGGAGGAGATAGAATTTCAAGGGAATTAACGTATTGCATGTCGGTTAATTTTTAGAAAATTTAAATAATTAATTTTCTTTTAATATTTTTAATTTCGTAATTTTCTTTTAATTTTTTTAATTTAGTAATTTTCAATGATCAA